TCAGGATTGACGGATTGGATCTCCTCGCAGCCCAAGGGACTCTCAAGAGACATCCCCCCCCCCAATAAAAGGCAGCCTTTAGAAGCTTCCAACTAGGGTGTGTCGATCGGTGAGTTTCAATCAGAAGAGACCTGGAAGGGACCCTTGGAGATCTTCTAGTCCAACCCCTTGCTCAAGCCAGAGACCCTATACCACTCCAGACAAATGGCCGCCCAGTCTCTTCTTAAAAACCTCCAGTGATGGAGCACCCACAACTTCTGAAGCCAAATTATTTCCCTGGTTAATTGCTCCCACTGTTAGGAAATTTCCCCTTAGTTCTAGGTTGCTTCTAAATCCCCGTTAACCTTGTTTTTAGAAACCCCAATCAGAATAACAAGAGTTGGAAGGGACCTTGGAGGTCTTCTAGTCCAACCCCCTGCTCAAGCAGGAGACCCTACACCACTCCAGACAAATGGCTGTCCAGTCTCTTCTTAAAAACCTCCAGTAGTGGAACACACACAACTTCTCGTGGCAAGCTGTTCCACCGGTTAATTGCTCTGTTAGGAAATTCCTCCTTAGTTCCAGGTTGCTTCTCTCCTTGATGAGTTTCCATCTGTCGCTTCTTGTCCTGCCTTCAGGCACCTTGGAAAATAGGTTGACCCCCTCGTCTTTGTGGCAGCCCCTCAAATCCTGGAAGACTGCTATCGTATCACCCCTAGTCCTTCTTTTCTCTAGACTGGCGATCCCCAATTCCTGCAATCGTTCTTCACTCAGTCTCCAGGCCCTTAATCATCTTACTCTTCTCTTTGCACTTCTCTCCCCCCCCCCAAATCTCAACATCTTTTCTGCAACGCGGTGACCAAAACTGAACACAGGTATTCCAGGGGTGGCCTTACTAAAGCTTTATAAAGCAGTACTGCTAATACTTAACGTGATTTTGATTTTGTGCCTCTGTTTACACAACCCAGGATTGTATCAGCTTTTTTGGCTGAAGCAGTCCGTGCCCAAGGCATGTCTTTTTTTGGGGGGGGGGGTGTCGGGCTGGTGGTGGGTTGAGTGGTAGAGACCGAGGAGGAATTCTTTTCTGAAAGGGGGGGGGACAAAGAGTGGCAATTTCCTCCCCCCCTCGACACACACACCTTGCCCTGTCCATCTCATTAAATCACTCAGGGTTCCCTGTACGTTTTCCTTTTAAAAAAAAAACATGCCCCATCTTGAACGGAACTTGTGGATTTGTGACAGGTTTGTTTTCAGAGTTAATAATAATAATAATAATAATAATAATAATAATAAAGTTGGAAGGGACCTTGGAGGTCATCGAGTCCAACCTCCTGCTCAGACAGGAAACCCTATACCATTTCAGACAAATGGCTGTCCAGTTTCTTCTTAAAAACTTCCAGTGTTGGAGCATTCACCACTTCTGGAGGCAGGTTGTTCCACTGGTTAATTGTTCTAACTGTCAGGAAGTTTCTCCTTAGTTCCAGGTTGCTTCTCTCCGTGGTTAGTTTCCATCAGTTGCTTCTTGTCCTGCCTTCAGATGCTTTGGAGAATAGCTTGACTCCCTCCTCTTTGGGGCAGCCCCTGAGATACTGGAAGACTGCTATCCTGTCCCCCCTCGTCCTTCTCTTCATTAAACTAGACATCCCCAATTCCAGCAACCGTTCCTTACATGTTTTAGCCTCCAGTCCCCTGATCATCTTTGTTGCTCTTCTCTGTACTCTTTCCAGAGTCTCAACATGTTTTTTACATCGTGGTGACCAGAACTGGATGCCGTATTCCAAGTGTGGCCTTACCAAGACCTTGTAAAGTGGTATTAACACTTCACGTGATCTTGATTCTCTCTCTCTGTTAATGCAGCCTAACACTATGTTGGCCTTTTTGGCAGCTGCAGCACACGGCTGGCTCCTATTTAAGGGACTGTCCACTAGGACTCCGAGGTCCCTCTCACAGTTACTACTATTGAGCAAGGTACCCCCCTATACTATACCTGTGCATTTGGTTTTTCTTGCCCAAATGTAGAACCTTACTTTTTTCACCATTGAATTTCATTTTGTTAGATAGCGCCCAGTGTTCAAGTCTGTCCAGATCCTCCTGTATCCTAAGCCTGTCTTCTGGAGTGTTGGCTATTCCTGCCAGCTTGGTGTCGTCTGCAAATTTGATGATTTCCCCATCTTCCTTTCACACACCCCTTCCCTTCCCACCTGGGTGCCCGTTTTGCCTCACCTTCAGCAGAGGCTTCCCTTCCTTTCCTTTGTCTTCGCTGTCCAGCTTGATGTCCAGTTTCTCGATCAGCTTGGCTGTTTCCTCCTTCTTGAAGTTCATGATTGCATCGAATACCTTGGAAAAACCCCGGGCGGGCAACAGAAAGATCACATCTCCAGCAAGGGACAGTGAGCAAACAAAGTGAGTGACTGCTGCTGGTAGTCCTGTTTCCTCCTAACTCAGCGGTCCCCAACCCCCCCACCCCACCGTCGGGGTCCTTGACTCAGTACCGGTCCACAACCTGTTGGGAACCGGGCCGCACGAGAAGCAGGCGAGTGCACAAAGCACTGTGTGCATGCAATGAAGCCATTTCCTTCAACGCCGGTCAGCAGAAACGCCAAGGCTGGGGGACCGCCGTTCTAACTCACCCAATAATCAAATTAGATGCTACCCTTCCGGGGTCAAACCCACCACCCCGTGCCGGCTAACTCAAGTGGAGGCTCCCCTGGCGGAGGTAATGGGAGATGTCCGCCACAGCCAGAGGGCAACAGACACGGGAAGGCTCAGCTGGCCATATAGGTAGTCCTTGACTTATGGCTGAGCACAGGATTGCAAGGGTTAAGTCATGGCGATAAAGGAGCAGGTGACCATGTGGCCAGGCCCAATTTTATGACTTCTGGGGTAGCCCTTAAGGACTGCAATGTCATTAAACGAACCTATTTTCTTCAACAGGTGTTTTTTTTCTGGCTGGGAAACGAAATGCCAGAAATTGGCAAGAGACCCAAAAAAAGTGGTGGTCGCACAACCGCAGGATACCGCAAACGGTCTTAAATGTGAGCTGGTGGCCAGCAACCCAAAGGCCACGATATGACCACCATATTGTGTGTGTGTCTGTGTGTGCGCGTACAGCTGCCACAACTATGGATCTGGGTCATAAATAGCTCTGGGAAGGCCTTTTGTTAGCTTCAGACAGTCCCAAAGTGGCCAGCCATTAAGCGAGGACTACCTAGAGACGCACAAAAGGCGAGTCCTCTGGGACCCGTGAGAAAAATCTTGAGAGCCAAGCAGTGCCCAAGTTGAATGAAATAAATTAAATTTGGAAGACGCAGTGCCCAAGTTGAATGAAATAAATATAAATTTTGCAGTCGCAGTGCCCAAGTTGAATGAAATAAATTAAATTTTGCAGAGAATGCCCAAGTTGAATGAAATAAATTAAATTTTGCAGACGCAGTGCCCAAGTTGAACTCAATAAATATAAATTTGGCAGACAAGCAGCGCCCAACTTGAACTAAATATAAATTTGGCAGAGAAGCAATGCCCAAGTTGAATTCACTAAATTAAATTTTGTGGAGGAGCAGTGCCTAAGTTGAATTCAATAAATTAAATTTTGCAGAGGAGCAGTGCCCAAGTTGAACTCAATAAATATAAATTTTGCAGAGAAGCAGTGCCCAAGTTGAACTCAATAAATATAAATATTGCAGGGAAGCAGTGCCCGTGTTGAATTAAATAAATATAAAATTTTTAAAGAGATTAACTACAAGGATCCCCATGGAGTCCAAAGGGCTCAATTCAGCCCAGAGAGATCCAGGTAACTTTCTAGACTCGTTCTGCTTTGTGTCAGAACCAAAAACATTTCTTCAAGCATAAGAACATCAGGTCAAAGTGAAGAACTTTTTTCGTCATCACGCACAGGCAGAGGAGAGGCGGGCACTTTGAGCATCGTGGTGGGTAGAGTTTGGGGCTGGCCAAGGAAACGACGACCGGGGGGGGGGGGGTGCCCTACCTTGAAGATGGGGTCTAGGATCAGCTGGCAGAAAGTCCTCGGCAGTTTCTTCCCTTCGGGGCTGGTGGCAGATTTGCTAAACTTGCCAGTCGCCGGGTCAAAGTATCTGTGGGAAAGGAGAAAGAGAGACAGAAGGATCAGGTTCTGTTGTCAAGACTCCATTTTAAGTCAGCTTGAAGAAGAGTGCAAGAATCTGGGGGGCAGAGTTAAAAGAGGACTTAGCCTGGAATCCCTCTGCAGCCACAAGCGAGGGAAGCCCCAAGCTCCCTTGAATGCTGTTGACCAGGGGTCTCCAAACTCCGCCGCTTTAAGACTTGTGGACTTCAACTCCCAGAATTCCTCAGCCAAATTGAAGTCCACAAGTCTTAAAAGTGGCCAGGTTTGAAGACCCCTGCTGTTGACCCTCATCCCATTCTAACCAGGTGCCCATTTAAGATGAGAAGAATCCTGTGCATAGGTTGTTTAGCAACCAGTTTAATTCAGGGGTCTTCCAACTTGGCCCTTTTATGACTGGTGGACTTCCAACTTCCAGAATTCCTCAGCCAGCCCTGTTTGATTTGAACAGGGGGGTCTTCCAACTTGGCCCTTTTATGACTGGTGGACTTCCAACTCCCAGAATTCCTCAGCCAGCCCTGTTTGATTTGAACAGGGGTCTTCCAACTTGGCCCTTTTATGACTGGTGGACTTCAACTCCCAGAATTCCTCAGCCAGGCATGCTGGCTGAGGAATTCTGGGAGCTGAAGTCCACAAGTCATAAAAAGGGCCAAGTTGGAAGACCCCTGGTTTAATTGAATGTCATCAAGATTGGTTTTGCCCCTCTTTAGTTAAGCTCAATTTCTCTGTAACAATGAATTACACATCCTGCTTTCCCGACCCTGTGGACTTCAACTCCCAGAATTCCCCAGCCAGCCTTGCTGGCTGGGGAATTCTGGGATTTGAAGTCCACATGTCTTCAAAGTGGCAAAACCTTGACCTAGAGCAGTGGCCCCCAACTTTTTGGGCACTAGGGACTGGTGTCACGAAGAAAGGATTTTCCACAGACCGGATGGGGTGTGTGGTTTTGCATGCTGCCTGCATCCTGCAGATGGGGCTTTGCTTGTGCGGCTCAGTTGCTGACATGCCGCGGACCAGTGCCGGGTCCACGGACCCCTGAACTAGAGAATAATCCAGTCCTTCAATGACACAATTTCACTTGAGGCATCTTTACAGTTATGAAAGGATTCCCTTTCTCCAGGTCCTCAACGGGCCAAGAGTCAAATGTGTGCTCTATTCCCCTGCACGAACAGAGCCGGTCAACAATTAAGTCTTCTGGCCACGTGACGTGGCGATCCTGACTCGCACAATCCTAAAATTCTACGCACCTGTCGCCCCAGAGCTTCTTCATCATGTCGTCCACCTTTTTGGCACGTTCGTTGCAGTTCAGCTGCCCTTCGCCTTTGGCGGCGAACTTGGCCACGTACATCTCAGCAAACTGCTTCAGGGTGAAGGCCCAGCCGTGCAGGCCGGAGCCAAACCCGACCGTGCCGAGGACTGGATCGATCTAGGAGGACAGACAAGAGAATTTAGTCCCCGAGACTCTGTGGTGTGTTCCCTAGAAGGGCCCGACTTGACGGGCCCTCGGTGCTCTCTTGAGTTCCGTTGTTTTCAACTCCCAGGATTCTAAATTCCCATTTTAAGACTGGTGGGCTTCGAATCCGCGAGACTTTTGAGACGTTTCACCACCCAACTAGGTAACGTCATCAGTGCTAGAAGGGAATGTGGGGTTTTTGCAGGAAGAGGAGGGGGACGACAACTGTGGCCTCCTTGATGCTCTCTGAGCTTCATTGTGTTCTTTCAGATGTTTCATTACCCAACTAGGTAACACCATCAGTGCTAGTCAGAAGCCCAGAGAGCACCAAGGACCCCCATCTCAACAAATATTCCCCTTTATTTCATGAGTTCCTTGCTATTCTCAAAGAGGAAATTACGTGCCCAGGTTCTAGAGGGCTTCTTGAAGCACAAAAGCCATGAACGTGGGGAAGTTGCCAAGTGCCCATAATGCAGTCATGTGACCACAGAGACCACCGTCGAATCTTTGGAACTGGGAAGCCACTACCATCTCAGGGGCTCATCATGACTAAGCAACCTGTCCTAAGTTGAGGACTACCTGTAGGAGTAACTTCTAAACATCTACACCAGGGGTAGGCAACCTTGGCTCTTTTATGACTCGTGGATTTCACCTCCCAGAATTCCTGAGCCAGGAGTTGAAGTCCATGAGCCATAAAAGAGCCAAGGTTGCCTACCCCTGATCTACACCAATACCCTCCAGATATTATTGGGTTAAAACTCGCTACAGGTGTGCATAAAAATGCACAAATCCAAACATCCCTTCAACCAACTAGAATAAATTATGTCTCTTGTTAAGCACTCTCAATTAATTGCATCCATCTAGGGCAGGGATGGGGAACGATGGCCCTCTTTTTCTTGTGGACTTCAATTCCCAGAATTCCTGAGCCACATGGTATTGAGGTGGAGGAACAATGGCCCTCTTTATGTCTTGTGGATTCAACTCCCAGAATTCCTGAGCCACATGGTGTTTTAGAACTGAGGTGGGGGGAATGATGGCCCTTTTATGTCTTGTGGACTTCAACTCCCAGAATTCCTGAGCCAGCCATGAAGTCCACACGTCATAAAGGGGGCCACCATTCTCCTTTTCTAGGGAAAGAAAAAAACAGGGCTGTGGAGTCGGAGTCGGAGGAAATTTTGGGTACCTGGAGTCGGAGTTGGCAAACAATGCAACGACTCCGACTCCTACTAAATTTAGATTGGAATT